TTCATCCGAGTAGATTTGTTTAGAGTTCATTGTTTCTTTGATATATAAAGCTACACCTCTTTTTTTTTAATCATGCTAATGAGAAATAAAGTTTCCCAATTTTCGGGCACTCCAGAAATTTATAATATTGTCTTTTAATATGTGTTTCTTGTAAACTATATCCATTTTTAATTTTTGTAATCGTGTAAAGAGTTTTTTTCTTCTTTACAGGGAAATTCAGTCCATTTATATTTATTGAGAGTATCTCATTATCCTTTCTCATCTTCTTCAATTATATTTAGGATTCATTATCCTACTTGTTCTAGTTTGTCTCTTCTTTCTCTTTGGGCCCTTCTTGGTTTATGATTTCTATTTCTTCCACTTCTCTTTGTTTGGCCACCCCTTCTAATGCTGTCTCTTCCTGTTTTCTAAATTTCCCTTCTGGTTGAAGTTCTGGGTTTCCTTCTTCAAGAAAAGCTCTGTATCTGTCATGAAATTCCCTTGCTTTGAAGATAGAATCCAATCTGTATCTTTTTGTATCCTAATTGATTAGTATCCCTTCCAGTACAAGCCATCTAAAGGTCACTCCTTTCTTAATTAGTTTTTTGGTCAAAAATTGATATTCTCTTCACAAATCCCTTATCCTCCTGGGTATCTGCTTCAGCACCACAATTTCTTTTCCCTTATATTGCAATGGATCATCTCTCACTCTTCTCAGTATTTCATCTCTTATTGATCTTTTAACAAATCTGACATGGATCTCTCCGGGGACTTTGTTTCTTCTTGTGTAGCTTGAGTTAACTCTAAATATTTGATCTATTTCTCCTTCCATTTCCTGCTTCACCACTTCCAGTGCACCAGCCAGCAGTTCTAACATCAGGTCAACAAGGTCCTCCTCTTTGTCTTCCATTATATTCTGGAATCTTAAGAAATAGGATGCCTTTTCCATTTCTAAAACCACTACTGAGTCCTCTAGTTCTCTATTTGTCTGCATCAATCTTTGATTTTCATCTTTTATTTTTTTCCATTTTTTGATCAGTTTCTGCTGATTTGTCTTTAACTGTCTGGATCCTTTGCTCATTCTTTGAGATCTTCTGTTGGAAGTTTTCCATTTGGGATTTCAAATCATGAATTTCTTCCTTCACTTTATCAAAGTTATCTTTTGTTTCTTCGTGATTTCTCTTTATATCTTCTTTAAGTGATGTAATTGCCTCTTGAATGTATTGTAATGTAGTTTGCATATCCTTCTGAAAGGTGTAGTTTTTTTCTTGCTGTAGCATTGCATCAATTGATCTTTGATGCACAGGACTGGGGGTAGTAGAAGGTGGAGCTGAGGATGGTTTTTTGCTAGCTTTGGCTAAATTAGAGACACTCATTTTTGTTCCCGTGCTCACAAGCTTTCTCAGTTCTAGTATATACCCCTATTATCAATTTTGTATAAACCCTCCAATCTTACAACCAATAGTCCTGTATGTCCTTTAAATTCACCTTCATAAATCTTATATTCTTTGTCTGTAACCTCTTATAATCAAATAGACTTCCCCATACAGGGGGAAGCAGGAAGAAGGAAAACCTTCTAGTCCACTTCTATCTTTCACTCCCAGTTTCAGAGATTTCTCCAAAGGTCCAAGGTTTTAGTCTGCCCAAATTTGTAATCCAAAAGTTCCTGAATATAGGGTTAGTAATCCATAAGGACTCCCCCAAATGGAGTCACCACGAGTCAGATTTCCATTGTTTCTAAATAGTTCTTGAACATAGGGGTCTCTTATCCAGTTCACTCCCCCCAAAAAAGGGAGGCAGTAGCAGGAAAGAAAAAAAATATAATCCACTGTAATCCACTTTTAGCTTTGTTTTTCAACACCAATTATCCAAAAATCCAAAAAAAACCAGCCCAAGTTTGTATTCATCAAAGTCTTGCTATTCCAAGTTGGTAATCCACAAGGCCTCTTCCAAAGAAAATACAAAAATCCAATTTCCTCTGTCTCTAGGTAATTCTTAACACTGCAGCACCAATAGTATTTGTAATCCAGAAAAGCTGGATGGCTTTAAAGTAGTTTATAGCTATACAGACAAAAACAGTCCAAAGAGTTTTTTTTCCTCCTTTTCCAGCTGCAATCTGCAAGGTTAGGAAGCTCAGACACATCAAAGAGTCTAGTATGCTATCTCTGTCTGGGCTTCAAGCCAAGGTCATTTCTTCCAGGCCAGATAAAAAACAAAGTCTTGGCGCTTTTCCTTTATTCAACCACTAGATGTCATGAAATGTCTATCTTGAATCAGGACTTATTGAAAGCTCTATTTGTTATTTTTTTCCAAAAAAGGAAAAAAGAAAATAATAAAGTTTTCAAAGTTCTTTTAGATCACTTAAATTTTTCAGTCTTAAAATTTTAAATTGTTTCTGAGTTAGTTTTGTGCTATCTTCTTTTCTCCCAAAAAGGGTGCCAGAAAAAAAATCCCCCCCCACCTTCTTGCTTCTGGGAGCCTTGCTTTTGGGATATTTTTTTTAAATAAGGTTTTTACAATTATAGACCAGGAGGGTTAGTCTCAACCAGTTTCAAACACGATACTTTTCTGCTTGGTCATGCTTTTTTTCCGGCTGTCAGCAGCTTTTGACTGGGTGTTTGTTTGCAGCCAGTCTTTCGCCTGTTGGTTTAGAGGGCTTCCTTGGATCCAGCAGTTTGGCCACTGCCTCACCGCGATAGACAAGGATCCCTTCCTTCTTCATCTCCTCTCCGGGTGACTTTAGGCCCTTTTCTGACCCCCAGCAGGGTGAAATCAGACATGGGAGGCAGAGGCCTGCTTCCCTGCACCGGTCTCACTGCAACGCAAAATCGGAAGTCAGAACTTACTCTTTTCTGATTTCTAGTCTGGTGTCTTAACCACTAGACCAAACTCACTCTCATTTAATTTAATTTAATTTAATTTAATTTAATTTAATTCTTTAATTATTTCATTTTATTTCATTTTTTAATTTAATTTTAATTATTTCATTTATTTCATTTTTAATTTAATTTATTTTTTTATATTTTATTTTATTTATTTTATTTATTATTTTGAATTTACTTATTTTATTTCAATTTACTACTCCTCACCTAGCAAGTTTAGTTTCTTTATCACTTGAAATAATAATTCATTTGAAAGTAATGGCAGTTTATGTATCACTGTAACTAATAATTATAGACAAGCGTTGACATTTTAGCAGCCTATGGAATTTCATATTTGATGGCTACCAAAGTAGCAAAAGCAACTTAACAAGTATATTATACTCGTAATTTAGAAATAAACACAAATTTTCAACATTCATTAGACAAAATTGAAAAACTCAGCTAATGTTGCTTTAGATATAGTTCTATTTCATGGCAAATGGATTTATCAAATGTCAATGCCTGTGCTCTCCATCCCATTCATATGAAGGGACCACAGAGTTTGAAAGAGACTCTGGTTATTGTCCCTCCCCACCCATGGTTTAATGTGGAGCTCTTGGATAAGGAAATTTAACAGAAGAGTTGCCCAAATTCCAAATCCATATTCATTCAGAATTCCAGGACCTAGGAAAGCTGCACAAACTGCAGCTTCTATACACAGGAGCTGTTGACATCCAAAATAACATAGAGATGATAAGGCCCAGGAGAGCCTTGTGCCATAGATGCATGGCCATTAAGGCAGAATACAGCCTTAAAAAAAAAAGTGTTGCCTGTTTTTATGAATAGTATATGAAGCATTTGTTAGCTTAGCTGACAATAAATCTCCAGTTTTTTCCAAGACCTGTTTTTAGTTCAGGCTTCAGATGAAAATGAGAAGGAATAAATTGTGGAGGTCTTCTGCAAGCAAAGTGTGTGTTTTGAGCTCAGCTCTTTGTCTCACGATAAAACACCTACCATTTGCTTTCAGTGGCAATGATTTGTCTTGCTCTTTCCTGTTGAACATTAATAGCTACTGGATTTTGATTCCTTTCAGCATTTCAGAAAAGAAGAAAAATGCATTTAATCTTAAATATACCAGCTTTAGATTTCTTGATATCTTTTCTATTTTTGTTGATTCATGTTTTATAAGCTAGAATCTAGCTGTTCAAAATTCTTATTCCTGTTCCTAAACTTTCTAACATAGTTTTCAACAAATAATTCTAAGCAAATAGTTATATCATAGGTCAAGCTACCTACTGATTGACACATCAACTGCTATTTTCTGGTATGTCTTTACTCTTCTTAATACACTTCATGTGGAGCAACTTCTTTGAACGTCATTTAGGTTGAAACTTTTGAGGGCTCAGGCTCCTAATCAATCTCAAAGGTTAAGATGATTTCCTGATTTAGACTATTAGAGATATACTTTGAATGTCCACCTGTTAGAATAGTTTTTAAGTCCATCAAGAGAGAGAGAAAGAGAGAGATAAGAGATTATATTATGTTAAAATTCATACACTGGGGTACAACATCACATCACATCACATATATGTCCATGTGAACTTAAGAAAAAATGGATCATTTATGCCATTTGGATAGATTCTATATATTTGTATAGAAGAGAATACATGTAGCTCAGAGTTGAACTGTAGAGTTCTTGGTGATCTCTGAGCTTGGTCATTTGCTTGCAGACATTTAATTATCTAAGTAACATGATCAGCACTGATGTTAGCTAATTGGATAATGAAACATGTGTAGCCAAACAACCAAGCTGAGACAGCATCAAAGGCTCTATATATTCCTTTCTGCAATACTGTTAATCATTAGAACTTGTATAGCTCCTAAAGCTAATGCAGTCCTCCAAATGAATTCCATGAATTTGTTTCCTGGTAGAGGCTTTGAACCCCATGGAAAAAGATTTGGCTCTTTGTGTCTGATACTTACTAATAAAATAGAAACTATGTAATGCACTGGTCAATGTAACTTTTAGCATCCATGTTAATGGAATTCCAAATCAACTTTTCCCTTTGTGTACCATCCAATGTTTTAGATTTGAATTCTTATAATCTCATGTCAAAAGCACTGAATGAAACTTGATGTAGTGATTAAAAGTTATTTTAGTCTGTGTGCAGAAACTAGAGAAACAGTCAAGGGTTGTTGGAGGATCAAACTCTTCTGCTGGCGAATGGCCTTGGCAAGTCAGTTTACATACAGTGCTCCCTGTTCAGAGTCATCAGTGTGGTGGTTCAATCATCAGTGACCAATGGATTTTGACAGCTGCTCATTGCTTCAAAAAGTGGGTAAACTATGTTCATAGCAGAAACAGACAAATCATGTAACAGGATAGCTTTTGTTACTGTTGATTAACATGTTCTGATTAAAGTTATCACTACATATGAGCTACTAGGACTGTTGGTCAAAGCCTTGAAGATTAGTCCAGAACTGACATATAGAGCTATTGTTTTATAATTTAAACAATTACATAAAATAATTCTGTGGTGTACTATGTCATGAAATGCATTGTTCACATGTTTTATATCATAGCCTTCATGCAATTAGCTTGGCTGATTGGGCATCATATAAAATGAAGTTCAAAATATCTGGGAGTCTCTCATAGTACCATTGATTCACAATGATGGGAACTGCAGTCCCACATCTGGAGGCCATTAGGATTAAAAATAGTCCTTTGATCTGTCTTAGTAAAGCTGTTCAGTTTGTAATGTTCTCATGATGGTTTAGGTAATACCTTTAATGTGTAACAGGGTAGAAGATGAAAGCACAAATTATCAGAAATTAGTTGCTATAAGAATGGAAAAGAAAATAATTGAATAAGTAAAAATTCAAAAGAAACTTTTTAAGAATACTTAGGAATATGTTTAAATATTTAAATATGTTTGATTTGCATTTGAGAAAATGGTTTCAGATTATGAAAAACAGCCTTATTTCTACATATTTTATCTTAATTTTTCTTGTTTTTATTTTTTTAGCTTTCATTTAACTGAACTTTGGCAGATTTACAGCAGCATTTTGAAACAGTCTGAAATAACAAATGAAACTACTTTCTTCAAAGTCCAAAAGTTGATTGTTCATCCTAGATATGAATTTGCAGAGACAGGATATGACATTGCTTTACTAAAGCTTGACAGACCTATGAATTTCAGTGGTATGTATACATTTATTACAAAACCTTTAATATTATCTTAGGCTTTCATGGTTTGTTTAATAATGGTCAGTTGAATATGCCATCATTGGAATCATTGCATTAAATCCATATATAATAAATGACCATAACAATGAACCCAATCAAGATGGTGTTCTCCAAGTCTAAATAAATTGAGTATATTAAATGAAATATGGTCCAAGAAGAAAAAAAAGGATGCTAAGAAGATTTTGTTTCAGAAAAGGAGGCCTATCATAATGAGAACAAAAGGAAATTCAACAAACAAGTTATCCTACAAATTGGCTCAATTATAGCAGATAGGAAGGTAATCAATATCAAAGTGGCATTTTAACAGGAACTGGGAGCAACCGGTCAGCTTAACATTTACTTCTACAAAATGGTAAAAAAGTAATCAGATTAAAAATAAAACTGTGGCAGAATTAAGCAAAAGTCAACATGGTTTTTACAAAGATGTCTTAAATTTGTAAAAAGGTCTTTGATAAAAGCTTAGCAATCAAAGAGTAAGAAGAACATATTTTTTATGAAGCAAGTAGGCAATCTTCTCAGGGGAATGAAGTGACAAGTGGAATCCTCAAGAGTTTGTACAGAGACATGAGTTTTTCATCTTATTCATAAATGATCTTGATTTGGGAATAAGCAGTGAGCAGACCAAGTACCCAAGATATTCCATGCCACAGTGATCTTGAAGATTTACAAAAAGGTTTCTATAAATTGTATTAATTTAAAGTAATGCAGTTAGGGAAAATATGCTACAGTAAATTCAGAAGAATGCTAAGTCTCTATACCTAAACTAGGATTTTGGGGTCCACATGGTAGATAGTTCAGTGTATTCACTTTAAAGCTGCGACAAAGGGAAATTCCATTCAGGGTTTATTAGGAAAAGGAAAAGGACTGAAAATGAAGTAAGTAACATTGTAATGTCCTAACACCGGGGTCCCCAACCTCTGTGGGCCATCACCTCTTTGCAACTGGGCTGTGGAAATGGTTGGTGAGCGCACACCCATGCGCATCGCCTCTTGCATAAGCAGCAGGTGAGTGCGTGCATGTGCTCTCCATTTGCATGAGGGGTGGGTGCGTGTGCACACTGCTTGGACAAATGGCGCTGCACACAGGTGTGCGTTTGCTGGCCGCTCGTGCAGAACCTTCACCCCTCTCTCTCCCTGCTAATGTGCAAAGCTGGAAAGGCTGGGGAACTCTGTTCTGACATTAATCTATGGTATGTCTGCATCTAGAATACTGTGTACAGTTCTGAAAAGGGATGGAAAAAATGTACAAAAAAGAAATCAAAACTATTAAAGTGCTCATGCAGATAGAAATATTCAAACTCTATCCTCAGGAAGAAAAGCAGAACACGATTAAGGCATATACAATGAGGTACAGCATGGACAAAGTAGTTTGGGAAGGATTTTTCTTCCTCTTTAAAGTATTAGGATGAACCAAGGTGCATCCAATGAAAAAAATCAGGGAGAACATGTCCAACAAAAGTGTTGGATTTTGTAAACTTCGAGTTTTTATTTATTTAATTTGTATCCCACCTTTATTATTTTTACAAATAACTCAAGGTGACAAACATATCCAACACAACTTCCTCATCCTATTTCTCCCACAACAACCCTGTGAGGTAGTTGGGCTGAAAGAGAGTGACTGGCCCAAAATTACCCAGCTCGCTTTCATGGCTAAGGCAGGATTTGAACTTATGATTTCTTGCTTTCTAGCTTGGTGCCTTAACCACTAGATTCTGGATTGGCAGTGCCTGTCTCCAAATACCAGTTCAGGGGTAACAATGGGGGTACAGGGATATGACTCCAACTTTGAACTAAAATTGACCTTTAGCATATTTGTGGCTGTTGTGAGAAACAAAATGCTGGATTAAGTGGGCTAGGGCAGATAAAGCAAAAGTATTCCTCTATCCTTAAGGATGCCATTTATTTTTCAATACAAGTCTTTTAGCATTTTATTATTTGATTTTTTTGAAATGACTATTTAGCTTTACAGCAGCCGATATGCCTTCCCTCCCAGGAAGAAATGAATATGACATACACCGAATGCTGGGTGACTGGATGGGGTTACACAGAAGAGAGAGGTACTGAAAAATAACCTTAAGAAACAATGAATACTTTTCTTGGCAAAATATGAGGTGATATTAGGTTGTTGTTATTATTGCTATTTGCATATGAACCACCAGAAAGGGTTTAATTTATAAAGTGAATTTTATAACTGAAAAGTACATTACCTTTCTAGATTTCATACTAGAATAATGTACTTGTTATCAAGGACCAATATAAGTAAAGATGCCCTAAAGTTGTGCTCTGTTCTTGAGAACCATGTGGCACGTCTGTGCAATGACAACATTATACAGGAAGTCCTAATGTTACAACCATTCATGTATGACCATTTGAAGTTATGAGGGCACTTAAAACCATTAATTTCTCCCAGTCATGTGATCAAAATTCAGATGCCTGCAGCCTTAATAGGGGACTCCTGACAAGCAAAGCCGAATTTGCTTCATAAGGGCAGCAAATTAGGTAACAAAATCGGGGATAGCTCACTTAACAACACTGCATAGTTACAGACATTTTAGCCCCAATTGTGGTAATAAACTAAGTACTATCTATAGAAGTGGTCTGCTATTGCATTTGTGTAGGATGGCTTACTGTTTGGGCTACCTCCTCCAACTCCTTTGGCAGATAAGTGATGATCTGTCCAGCTAAGATGTAAGGAAGGAGGCAAAGAATCTTTTCAATGCATACACTATTTTACCTGATGCTTTCAATTTCTCAAAAACAGCAGTTACAGTTGGGACTGTTAGTAATCATTTCTCAGCCATATTTTCAGCTGAAATACCCCTGGGGGGATGAATGCTTCTTCTGACTTCCTATCAGTCAGATTTTTCTAAAAGAATATGAAAAGCTGTTCTGGTTTATCAGACAAGAAACTGAGACAGACAAAATTAGGTGTCTGCCATGTGGAGCGTGCCTACAGCAGGCCAGCACTTTGAAGCTATTATAAGAAAGAAATGAACTTTGATAATTCAGTTGATCTTTGGCCAAGATTGTCTTGTCAGTTTTCAGCTGCTTTTCTACTTTTGATGTATTTATTACTTCTAGAACATATTCTATATCCTTTATTTCCTTTTGTTATGGATACCAAATCAAGGAGAAAAGTTTGAATGACTTTAACAACTCCCCACTGCTCCACAAACAAAAATAACAACAGAAACTGGTCTTAATCTTCTGTTCCTTAAACTTATAGTCAATCAAATGCATCAACTGAGATGTTAAAAATACAAAATAAATCAGAGAGTTCCAAAAGAAAATATCAGTGAAATTATGCCATTGCCTACACAATGCCATCTTGGGGGGAAAAAACCATCTCTATGGATTGTTAAGTAATGGCTAAAGAACAAACAAGTTTCATAATTATGTTTGATTCTGGTTTGAACTAAATCTTAGTTTAAACTTACATAATTTCCTGAGCTAAAATGTATTGGACAATTCTGGTTAGTTTAAAGAAGAAATAGATACTTCTGATTTTCTTATGAATGCAACATATACATATAAATAGAAAATGGAGACAAATTCCTTGTGTGTCTAACCATACTTGGCCAATAAAGAATTCTATTAATAGAATATCAACAATCTAAATACAGGAATATATGGCAATCATCATGAGGGGAAGAAATTCATATTGATCCTTTTTGAAACTCAGTATCACAATCCCCTAATTATCTTTGCCCTCATACCATGTGTGTCTCTCCATATATCAGAATAAAACAGGAGAAAATCAGATTGGGTATTTTTTTGTATCTATTTTGAAACAAATTGTTTTCATTCACATACAACAGAATACATTTATAATGTACAGAGCCACTGCTTAATCAGGAAATAAGGGAACCTAAAATATATGAATGGCCATAGACTAGGCAGTGCTATGAATCTTTAATCTGTTATTAGCAGTGCTTTTTTTTTCTAAAAAAAAAAAAAAAAAAGGGTGCCAGAACTCACACACGTCATACAACCCACCTTGTCTACCCTACAAGGTTCCATCCAAAAAAGGTACCAGAACTCCATTCTGAGTATTCTGTGAGAAAAAAAGCCCTGGTTATTAGAATACTGTTGGTGCTTTCAAGTGGATTTTCCAAAGGTTATAGGTCAGACAACTCATCCCAGAGATACAAGGAAGTGCACCACAACATAACATCATGCGCAATGGGGCTCATGTAGGACCAAATTCAAGCCAATTAATGCCCTAAGCATCGCCCCACAGTACTGTCCTTTGATAGAAGCCAAATTCTAATGCTATGTGATGGTAACAAATGTAATATCTATCAAAACATTAAAACCAAAGTTTAGTCATTCACCATGCCAAAGAAAACATTTTTTAACAATTTAGATTAAAGTTTGGCCATTAAGGACATTTACAAAACAAACTGATTACGGTGTCGAACATCCCATTGGCAAATGCAGCAAAAGAAACTCCCGGGACATTATTTTACCAAGAATATAACTTTACTGATAGATCCATATAGGTACAGAAGAAACAAAGCTGGTTCTGAGGTTTTGGTGTGAAAAGTAGCATAGTTAAAATCCCCCTTTTTCCTCCCCGGGTTACCCTGTGTCCATTGTCAACCAATCCAGTTCAATCATATTGTTTTGGAAAACAGTCTGCATCACATGAAAAGTTCCTATCAGGCAACCTTGAAGTGTTGGGACTTTCTCAGGCTGCAAACAGCTCACATAAATTCCTTACTTCCCTCCCAGCTCCCCATAAATTCCTATCATTCCCCCTTCACCCTCCCTTAGTCTCTGTTGTCAGGTTACAAGTAGCAGTATGTTAGGAGTCAGTCTTGACATATGGTCAAGTGTGGCAGTGAAGGAGTGAAAGGCATGATAGCTAAGGGGAAAACCTGTGTGGTTTCCCATTAGCTTGGTGCCCTAAGCAGATGTTTATTTGGCTTAATAGTTAATTCAGGGCTGGGATGATGTCCAGGAGTCTCTAATTGATTCTTATGTCACATTCACATATAGTTGGTGATGCCTGAAGCTTGCATTATTCTTGACTTTCACTGTACTAGCAACCTTCTCTCCATTTCTCTTTTTTGTATTTGTAGGCTCAATCAAAGACATGCTACAAAAAGTCAAAATTCCCTTAATACCAAATGCAGAATGTCAGTCTCAATACCTAGAGCACACAATAATTGACAAAATGTTGTGTGCTGGCTACTCAGGAGGAGGCAAGGATGCTTGCCAGGTAAATTAATAGTACCTTGTATTTCATTCTGACTCTGTGTACCATCACCCTCTTCAAGAGATCTGGAAAACCTGAGTTTGATGCAGATTTTAATTAAAAACTGCATGGTATTTCCTTCTGACACTATTATACTCAAGACTCCCTGAGAATAAATAAGAGGTTATTGATGTATTTAGTTGGTTTTTAAAAGAGCCTGGTATTTTATTTTTTACTTTTCAAGTAACAATATAAATATTACATTATACAAAATGCTCAGTATACAGTATGACATGCAGATAAACTTTTGAAGCTGCTGCTAATAAAAGCATACAGGGTCCATTCTGGTTTTATACCATTAAAAAAAAAACCTATCATAGATAGGTTTTGCTTTTTTTCTTTTTGTCCTTTTATGTCCTATAATTGTGTTCTGTGGCATTTGTCCATAAAAGAAAAAAATATCCTGCTACCAGATTCTGTTTAACGGTCAATGGTTCTACTTAATAATTTGGGGAAAGTGAAAATTGCAATGGAAATCAGTTGGTGGAACTAGCGCATGCATGGATGTGGAGTCGTTGCTGGAAATTTCTTGTGGAAATTTCCAGGTTAAATTGTACCTAGCAAAGAAGAGAGCCAGTTTGGTCTAGTGGTGAAGGTATCAAGATAGAAACCAGGACAGAGTTCTAATCCCCCTTTAGGCATGAAAGCAAGCTGGGTGACTTTGTGCCAGTCACCCAGTCCAATTCACTTCATAGCATTGTTGTTATGGGGAAAACAGGAAGGGGAAGGTGCATTAGGTACAGTATGTCTGCCATCTTGAGTGATTTATAAAAACAATAAAGATGGGATCAAAATAAATAATATAAATAAAGTCTCAGGCAATCCCTATATCCAGATCAGAATAAGTGCACACACCACTCAATAAGACAACAAAAACAATAGCTTGACTTTATTAAATATCACAAACATCACAAACAGTCGACTGGCAAAATAAAAGCAGTATATAAAGCAAGTAACAGCAAGAAAAGGAGATGAACAGGAATTTACATCAGCTGTATATTTTTGTATATCAAAAAGCAAAGTACTATCTGTCAGAAACAATACTTTGTGTAATCAGCACGGACAGTCCCAAAGGGAATGGCCATTGGAAATTCTAGCTTTAACCTTTTTATATATGTAACAGTAACAGAAGAGAGATGGAAACTCACCCATTAGGTGACCTTTTCTCTATTCTGCACTATTAAGAGAAATAACTTTGTGGATGCCGATTGTCAAGAAGTTAGTGGAATTTGAATCCTCCCCCCCTTAAAACTGCTGTTTCTTGTCCCCCCCTTTTAATTAGCTTACTTCATTAAAAAAAAATCTTGAAGCTTGTGGTGATTTTGTAGAACTGTAACTAGGCTAAGAAAAGTATTACCTCTTTGGATTTAACATCTTTGTTCCCTCATTTGTGACAATTGGGGAATGTTGCCAATTCTTCAGGCTTTCATCTCGGTGTAGAAACTTAGACTTTTAAGAATATAATTCCATTTTGTGAATTTACTAACATCAGAATATCAATCAGATGAGAAGCAATGTTTCCACTGCTTCTACTGAAATAGAATCATTTGATTAATCTGGGACATAGAATGGCACATAGGCCAGTTACTCCATCTATAATAGTCCCAGAACTGTTCCAATGGGAACAGGTTAGGATAAGAATTGGCACTTCAAGAACAAGTATCTAAGACTGCTTTTTTCTCTCTCTATCCATTCTTTTTTCTTTTGTTGTTTGTGTGGCATAGTTGGGATATTGGTCATCTTTGTGAATATTGGTGAAAGTCTTTTTTGGTTAAGGAGTGTAGAAAACATACTTTTGAATAATGATGATTTATTTTAAGAACTTGTTTATTCACCTGGGTATCCTTTTCACCAATCTTCCTTTATTAAACTTATGTAGATTTTTCTTTATTCTTTGCAGGGAGACTCAGGTGGCCCCTTGTCGTGTAAATTTGAGAACAGTTGGTATGTGGTTGGCATCACCAGTTGGGGTGAAGGATGCGCTCGTCCAGGACAACCAGGTGTTTACACCAATGTGGTTAAGTTTGTAGACTGGATTCTGGAACAAACTTTAGAAGATTAAAACAGAAAATAAATTAATCCTACATGCTACTAATTTCATGTGGCTCTGTTCAAAGGCCCATTTCATCCTGTTTCTGCATTTGGAAAAAACTGCAAAAAATTCATATTTAAATGTATATATTTTAAATTTACTTTATCAGACCATTTCAGACCATGGAAATTCAGATGAATTTGAGATTCCATTTCAATTATTACTTCTGAGTGTATGGGAAAAGATAATTCACAGTGAAGTTTACAAAGATGGATTTTTTTTAAAAAAAATTCAGTATATGGCAGTGGGGCGAACCTATGGCACGCGTGCCAGAGGCGGCACTCAGAGCCCTCTCTGTGGGCATGCGCGCCATGCCCCAGAGATGGCAACCGTCCCTCTTCAACCAGCCACCCGCTAACTGGCCAATGTCCCACATGGCCAGATGCATTCCAGCACCCATGCACTCGCTGGCCTTTGTGTGCAGGGGATGATGGTGTCAGGCAGCAGCCGACCTGGCCCCTGCCTCACCTTTCCCTGTGATAATGGCACCCCCGCCCTGCCTTGCCTTGTCTCGCCTCACCCCACAGGACAAGCCTCCTGCCCACCACACCACCTGCCAGAGACCCACTGGATCTCCCCCAACTCTGCCCAGCCCCCACAGATGTCCCTCCTCATGAGCAACATTGAGGTGATCACACCCACATTGGCCACACCCACCCAATCTGCCATGACCACCACAGCCATACCCATCCAGTGGGCCACGCCCACCTGGCAGTCGGTGATAAATAAGTGGTTTTTGGCTGCAGTTTGGGCACTCGATCTCTAAAAGGTTCGCCATTACTGGTATATGGAGTGTGTGTGCGTGTGTTTATATATATATATATATATATATATATATATATATATATATATATATATATATATATATATATTCAATAATACTGGTAAAAATGCGACTCCCGGGCATAATTATTAGTAAAACAAATAAAACACGATCACTGGGAGGGTTTGAAGTAAGAATACTTTACTTAAAAAATATACTTTACTTATGCTAAAAAGCTGCCAAGCTTTCGTTGGGGGAAACTCCCCAAAATCGTCAGGGCTAAGAAGGCCGTTTCAACAAAGGTGGTTTAAGTAGGTTCAAGTAACGTCTGCGCACGGCTTTTAGATCGCGTCACTGGCCCTAATTGACCAGCTGATGATCGAGATGTGTCTGTAACGTTTTGTTCTTTTCTTCGAATTCCCTTCCCTATCCTTCCGCTGTTGGTTTCTGGAGGCGTTAGTAACCTTGCATCTCCTCCTCTTCCGATGGTGCTGATACCTGTCATATCGGAGGGAGGGTTCAATCTAATGTTTTCCTGTGTCTTAATATGGGGATGGGGCTCCACCAACTGTAAGTTAATGCCCCTTTCTTGTTGCATACTTCTCTCCTCTTTTGCCCTATCAACAGTTCTTATCTGGGTATAGTGTATTTCAACGTCCGTCTCTTTATCTCCCACCCCAGTCTTCTTTGTGTCCGTGCCCTTTCGTTGTTTAATATTCAAACCTGATCCTTCCCATTCCTGTCGGTGGGGGGTCGTTAATGTTTGGGCATGTTCTCCGCTCCTGTTGCTTTTCCTTTTACTAATTGAGCGGGTTGTCATTCCATGTTTTCTCTCCCCTCTCCCCTCCCCTCTTCCCTCCTCATCATTATGGGCAATCACAAGCTCCGGAATTTTATTGTTGGATCCTTTAGATGTTCCGGCTCCATTGTTGCCACTTCTTCCCTCGTGGGGAGATGCGAGCTTCACATGATATTGTTGGGAGGTACGTAGATCGTCCACACCGGGAGCCCTCTCCTTTTCTTCCTCCATGCGTGGGGGGTTTGCAGTCCGTGTTCCCGCATCCGCTTGCTGCGATGGGGGGTTCGTGCATGAGGGGTTCGCAGTCCATGTTCCCGCATCCGCTTGCTGCGGTGGGAAATTCTCTCGTCGCACGAACTGGCGCTGGTCACATGGTAGAGGAGTGTTGGTGGTGTGGTTGTTTCCGCCTGCATGCGAACACTCCTGATGGCGGGGGGTACAGTTCCTTGTCCATAGCGCCGCGGGTGTTGACTCAATCGTTTACGGTGTAGTGAATAATGATTTGAATCCCATTTCCGCAGCGCTTGTTGCGCTGGATGCAAGTCAATATGGCGATTGATTGACCTGTCATTTGAGAACCAGGCCTCTTTCAGTAGCCGGCCTCCCTTCGTGGCATCACTAGCTACGACACGAGGGTTAATAAAGTCAAACTGATGGCCATCCTGCGCCATGTGCATCCAAAGTTGTGAATGCTGCTCGCCTCGTTTTATGGCCAGTTGATGTTCATGAAGACGAGTCTTCAGGCGTTTGGCTGTTTTCCCTACATAGTTGCCTTGTCAGTTCCTACAGTTGATTTTATAGACAACAGATGATTTCTCCATAGGAGGTAGGGGGTCTTTTGGGCGCATGACTTTAGATCGCAGGGTTTGATTTGGTTTGTGAGCCACCTGTATTCCATGGGGGGCCAGTAATCTGGCCGTGGCCTCTGAAATATTGTTAATATATGGGAGGGAGATGATAAAATTCCGAAGCTTGTGATTGCCCATAACGATGAGGAGGAACGTCCCACAGGGAGAGGGGAGAGAAAACATGGAATGACAACCCGCTCAATTAGTAAAAGGAAAAGCAACAGGAGCGGAGAACATGCCCAAACATTAACGACCCCCCACCGACAGGAATGGGAAGGATCAGGTTTGAATATTAAACAACGAAAGGGCACGGACACAAAGAAGACTGGGGTGGGAGATAAAGACACGGACGTTGAAATACACTATATCCAGATAAGAACTGTTGATAGGGCAAAAGAGGAGAGAAGTATGCAACAAGAAAGGGGCATTAACCTACAGTTGGTGGAGCCCCATCCCCATATTAAGACACAGGAAAACATTAGATTGAACCCTCCCTCCGATATGACAGGTATCAGCACCATCGGAAGAGGAGGAGATGCAAGGTTACTAACGCCTCCAGAAACCAACAGCGGAAGGATAGGGAAGGGAATTCGAAGAAAAGAACAAAACGTTACAGACACATCTCGATCATCAGCTGGTCAATTAGGGCCAGTGACGCGATCTAAAAGCCGTGCGCAGACGTTACTTGAACCTACTTAAACCACCTTTGTTGAAACGGCCTTCTTAGCCCTGACGATTTTGGGGAGTTTCCCCCAACGAAAGCTTGGCAACTTTTTAGCATAAGTAAAGTATATTTTTTAAGTAAAGTATTCTTACTTCAAACCCTCCCGGTGATCGTGTTTTATTTGTTTTACTAATATATATATATATGGACTATTTATGATCAACAGATACGAAGTTCTTAAAGAAAAATCTTAGAAATTTAGTCAATATATTAATTTTGAAGAGTCTGACATACATCCAATAACACAATAAAAATAATATATTATAATTATTTCTTCAACCCGCAAATGTATTTTTCCTTAATGTGAATATATTGTTTCTGATCAATGATTGTATTAATTGTAGACATAATAGAAAGAAAATATGTTTAAATCGTAGTAGTTGGTGACAACTGAATGCTATATATCTGGTTATAGTTATATATTTATATTGATCCTGTGTAGAATTATGCATCTGCTCCCCTAAATGTATATAGACTTGCTTGTGAGTAAACATTTTGAACATCATTTTCAAATCAGCCCTCAAATGAATTGGCTGTAACTAATTAGTGTAATGATATGTGGGAATAAGCTTGGGAAACAAGAGGGAGAGTAGCAGCCTATATAATGATCTGATAAAATCTGAGCCTGAAGGAGGGGTGGGGTGGTGGCTGGAGAAAACATCTCAGAAGGGACCCTTTCCAGTTTTGGGGAGAATAAAAGTAAGGAAGCGGATGTTAGCCCTTTGACAAGGAGCACCAACCATTAGTATTAATACTATCTTTGTGTAATATTACAGTAACAGAATTGTGCAAGTCTGGAAGTCCTCAGTTCTTCAGGCACTACATTTGTCAGATAAAATCCATGAAATCTATCTTTGATTTTCACCAGATTATCACTTGGAATATGGATCAGATTATTTTGTTTGCTTGTTTTAGTATGCAAAAAGATACACACGGTGCTTTTTTTGTAAAAAAAAAAAAAAAGGTGTCAGAACTCACACACGTCATACAACCCACCTTGCCTACCCTACAAAAAGGTGCCGGAACTCCGTTCTGGCGTTCTATGACAAAAAAACCCCTGGATATACATGATCTGAGCTGCAGTGTTTCACTTAACAACTGTGGCAAGAAAGGTTGCAAAATGGGACAAAACTTAACCACTGTCTCACTTAGCAACAGAAATGTTGGGCTCAATTGTGGTCATAAGGTGTGGACTACCTGTATACCATTTTCCACTTAAGCTTGGCATTGCACATACCTTTTTAGTACTTCTGAATAAGTCTTTAATTATAATGCAAGATTTCACCACAAGATTGTAGTTTCATCCACAAAGTGTGTCGACATTGATCTGCATATAAACAAGCCTCAGTGAAGTGAAATGAAAGACTTTATTATAGTCATTAACTAGCACAATGAGCCCCATCAATATCAAGTCTATTAATGAATGCAAAGAACACCTCAATCTGTTTGTGAAGCATATAGTCAATTTGCTTCTTTTGTTGTCTATCCAACATTTGAAATGTCAATGAAGACTGTGTGTCCAGTCATCTTTTAACTTGTTGAAAGAAGGTATTTTCTGTAGACATTGAATTTTCTTGGCAGAATCCTAGTAATCTGTCTCTGCTTCATTTTATATCCTGAGGCCATTTTTTGTATTGTTCCAGATGCTATCTTACTTCTAATATTGCATTTTAGTTGCTTCTGAATTTGATAACTTAGCAGGAGGAGAGGTCTTGTATTAACAATGTATTGCAAGTCATCACAGAACTGTGCAACTTTAATTTTCTCTGTATCTGAGGTTAAACTGGTTACAAAGGTTAATGAATATGGGATGCTAGACAGGCAATGTTTTAGGCTGCATAGTTTTTTTCCCCCAAGGTAATATA